ATATATATATATTATCAGAGGACATTTTTGTTTACCTTTCTAAGATAAACAATTTTACTATTGTACTGGGCCACCACTTGACGTGTAATGTAAAGTCATGAATCCAAATTGAAAGTTGAGAACCACTGTGTACATTAAAGCACATTTCACATGCATTAAACTGTTCTACACTCATATCAGTGACCAAATTTATATTTTAATCAGGAATGTCATTGAAATGCAGTGCAGAAGTCACCACATTTATCTGAATTTGCCCAAACAATCTAATTTATAGGCAGCTCTTGTCATCAACAGCATTATTTCAAACGACGCAGGGAAATTGGATGCGTTCTTTGGACAGTATGCTGAAGTTTAACCTGACAGCTATTAGTCAGCACTTCCAAGGGCACAAGAAATAGGTTTTCGTAGGCAACATGACTTGCATTTGCTAAGAAATGGCAAAGTCTAAAACACCATTACAATTTGCAATTAAGTAATTAACGATTCAATATGAATCAATTATTATCAACCCTGGTAAAGTCTGCCCATTTGTTGAGTGGATACAGTACTAAGGAAAATACCATGCAACACAACTCATGTACCATGAAAAAAAAAGTCTCTTATGCTCTCCAAATCTTTATTTGATGAAGAATTGAGTTAGAAATGGTGCAAAATATTTTTTACTAGTTAAAGTCATTTCTCTATTTGAATATATTTTAAAATCTATTTCTTTTAGCCACTACTTCAGTCTTTAGAGTCACATGATCCTTCAAAAATCATTCTAATATATATATATATATATATACCATGGTACATAAATCACTGTACCATGCAATACATCATAGTGCCAGTTTGACAAAACTATTGTACGATGGTGTTGGCATTACAAATGTCCCCCAGGAGAACATTGTATAGTATTTTAAGGTATATTTTTGTTACTGCCAAAAATCTGGGCCTTACTTACTTTACTGTACATCCTACAGTAGAGCTGCAGCCAGGAAAGAGTAGAGCACATATCTACATTTATATATTGTTGAGAAATGGCAAGAAATCAAAGACAACACCAGGGTTATTCAGCTTTATTTAATCTGCATATT